CGAAAACAGTGAAGCCACCAGGGGAATTCTTCACTTGAAGCATCCATCACTCCTCAGTAGAGGAATTGGAGGGATGTGTTAAGCTTGCTACATCCTTTGTCAATCTTTTGTTTATTACATTATCAAGTTGCTTGCACTGTGAAAGATTAAAACAGTTGGGTAAAAGCAAAGCATGGAGTTAGTGAGCACTTTGATTATAAGTCAGACATCAAACTGGTATTTGAAGTGCAGAACTACTGAGCTTTTTCTTTGTCACAGAAGCAGATGTTGCCGGAGGCAAGGAGGAATGGAGCCCTGCAATTTTTTTAAACTTGGCTGCTGAACTTTGCACTACCTGAAGAACCAGGCACTGTGTGCAGTTCCTGGTTAGATGCCTTTCAAACCTGTCCTCTGCCTAAGGGCTACCAGATGTGCAGCAGAGGCAAATGGATAGATTTTCCCATTGTGCATCACCTCAACCTGAGGACGTGCTGCTTATTGCTCTAAGTAAATGGTTGGGCTGCTTTATTAATTTAGGAGTCTGACAATAGTATTTTTCCCTTTTTCTTTACTTTAAGGAGAGTTCTTTCCAGTATGAGAATGAACTATTAATGAGCAAAGATAATATACCTAGGGAGGAAGATTTCATCCTGGATATTTATTTAGAATTTCAGCTTGAAAGATCCAACCAGAACCATTTGCCATACATATTATTTCCTGATGACTGTGGTCCGCCACACATGTATTCTGACAACCTTAAAGATTGGTGAGGATTTGTCCACAGGGGAATCCTTAACTCTGGTGACTTACCCATCTCACTACCTAGATGTCCATTTCCTCTGAAGTATCCAAGAAACATCCAGCAAATGATTCTCCATGCACAATGAACTTACTCAGGACCCTGGGCTTCTGGGTAAGTACATTTGTTTCTCTTAGTGTTCAAGTAAAAAAAAAATGCTTCCCTCTCTTTTCAAGAGGCCTTATGTAAACTACAAGGAAATATAACACATTTAACAGGTGTAAAATTCATCTACAGGTTTGTGATGGAGAATACCATTGACCACCAGTAGAACTGCACCCACTTCCCTCAAAGATCACAAGCTGTTACAACATTCCCAACAGATTTTCTTCCTTTACATGCATCACACACATATCACATGTGTATTTGCAAATACCTCCATTGCTGCTGCCTGTCACTCCTTATAGCAGTGTCCAAAACACCATGGTGGAAAGCTGTGTATCTGTGTACCTTACAGAGAGATGAAGGTTTGAACTGCTGAGGTATTCCCCCACATCGCTGCCACAATCCCATGTCACCATAGATGATCTGTGTCACTGAGGGAGCAGACAGAGAGGCTGGCACTGGAAAAGGAAAGTGACTTTTGGAGGGTGAACTAATGCAAATGCCACACTTACAGAAGTGAGAGAGTTAATTTAGTTAATTTTATCCATTTGAGAAGAGAACCTACAGAAGACTAACAATACAAGGTGCAGCTCAGAGCGGAAACCCTCCTCTGAACAAATGTGGGCCACAATAATATTTTCTAATTCACAGCTATCTAGTCTCTTTTAAAGCATATTAGTCTATGCCTGCTTCCAAAAAAAAAAAAAAAACCTGCTATCTTCATAAGATTTTTCTTTATAAAGAAAAAAATATTAGACATTGGATTGTATATAGAATTATTTTTTCCCTAGATAGGTTCCTGGTGTCTTTTTGTATTATGTGTAATCATGAGTGACCCCAAGGTCAATTATTAATGAAACCTCACAGAAATCCCTGCTAGATAAGAAGAAACATGAACATTTCAAGGAACAAAGTATTTGACTTCTAAACAGAATGCCTGCCTAAGAACAAACCTCATTAGGGAGGTCCTCCAGGCAAACATCCTCTCATTATTTATTGTCATGGTTTGCTGAAGATTCCTCAGTGTAACTCACAATTGGGTTTTAAATAAATCTCTCTTTATAGTAAATGTGATATTCTTGCATCTAAGCAACAGGGTTAGCTGAAAACTAAATAAGACCAAAATTTCACATTTCAGGGACTCATAAACAGCTTAGAGTCTGACAGCAATGCAACAAGAGGCAAAAATATGACTGACAACATATGGCTGAAAAGTAGGGTCACAGTGGCTGTACAACATAACAGAACAGTGAGACTGCAAAGAAAAAGCAATTAGCTACAAGTTTTGCTAATGTGGAATTATTTATGGTGAAGAATTTCTTTATAGCACAAGGATGGTGCTATGTTTATGATTAACATTTAAGGCATGAAGGCCTTGGATTTAAGGTTTTGCTTCCCATCCTTCATTCTGGCCTCTAGAGGGTCAGTGGGGCCTAGGCTGTCAAACATTTTGAGGCACTCTGATATCTTAGAGGAATTGGTCTAAGACTCCTGGAGTTCAGCTGCATCATGAAGGATACTAAAGCTCTTTCTCGTAACAGGTACTATGAATGGAAGGGTGCTAAGGACTGGGAATGTTTTATCAAATACTTTTGCTATGGATCTTTTCAAAGTGGTGAAGGTCTGGTAAGATTTTTACATATCTTATCCCATTCAAGGGTTAATTGATGTTTATGCCTAAGGTGACCATGACTTCCATTTTTAATTCCACTAAACTGCTGAGACCTCTTAAAGAAGTCCAGAACGCCTCAGAAATTTCCATCTCTAATCAGAACAGTGTGAAGTCCTCTTCAAGGAGAAAATCCTCTGGTGTGGTCCATTTTTCTGCTGTAGTTAAATAATCTTGGGCTGATTCAGCATCTGGGCTGATGAGCTGGCCCCTGGAAGCTCCTGCTTGGGTTGCTCTGGAGGAGGCTGGAGGGGCAGCACAGTGGAAAGTTCCTCTCCTCACAGAGGACATGCACAGGCCACCCTTGCCAGGGCACAGTCTCCTGACTCCCTTGCTTGGCTCAGTACACTGGCTCTGCTCCTGCCCACAGAAGATTCATTCTCTTAACTTTCATATTTATCACTTTCCATAACAAGGTTTCTCTTCTAAGACAATACAATAGTCAAACAAATGTAAAGGTGGTGAGGATAGAAAATAAAATAACTGTAAAGGTCTTTTTTACTTAGTGTGGTGAAAGGGGATATTATACAAACAGATAGCTTTTTTTAGTGCACCTATTATAGTCATGCCCACTCTTTGCTGAATGCATACCTATAAGATTGTGTGTGTGCAATAAAACCCTTAGTTTATTAAGCATTTTTTTATATTCTGCTATGTCAGTCTAAATTCACTTTGAAGGCAGGAATGATGGAATTGTTCAATATATTGTGTGCACAAGGTTGTGACCTCTGCAATCAGACCCTGAAACACCACTGTCTGCTTACTATTGGGGCACTTGAAACGAATGATGAGGTAGCCTCATAAAACATTGTACTAAATCTGAGGCCTCTGAATATGCAGTACTTGAGCATTTCTATATTCTAACTTCCAAAATATTTACAATCTCTATAGGACTTAAAAAATGAAAATTGAATATACTGTTTTTACTGAACATCTTTTTTCTAAACAAGGTCTTAATCCTGCCAGAGCTCAAATGGGTGAATGGCCTTGTTCTTGTAAAAAAATGTGCCACTGATTTCTGCATCCATTTGTGTTTGTGTCTTGCAAGAGACATCCTGGAATTGTTATTGTGTCATCCAGCAGGAAGGCAAGGTACATCTGCCTGAGTGCTGTGGAGGACATGTCTCTACAATGAGGCACATCCTAACTGGGGGAGGAGAGGGGAATGCTTTTGTTTTAAAAGAGGGACAGAACACCCTCAACAATAAATCTGAGACCCCAAATACCCTGCTCTTAACATAAGATTCTCTGTTTGAAGACTGACCCAGCCAAGCTGGAACATCCAGTGTAAAGCTGTCATCACACTTACTGAACTTACTGTCTTTGTTCTCTGTAACATGTGCAACTAGAATTTTATCAGCCACTACAACAATCTTTTCCTTTCATCAGCTTTGTGGCAGCAGCTCTGCCTCCCTTCTGTGCTGTTACTAGCAGGGTAGCTCCAAATAATTGTTTCTTTTCCACACACAACAAAGACCTATACAGCTTCAGCAGGGCCCATGAAATGGGAATCAACAAACAGTCCAGTTGCTGAAGTTTATCATTGGTGCCTCTTATTCTGCAAAGCATTTAAGCACCACACTTTTACTAAAGCTGCTGTAAATATTCATTCAGTGCTCAGAGGTGAACACAGTTCATCAGACCCCTGTATTTAACTCACTTACAGAACTTGAAAACTTTCCCAGCAGGCTCCTTTGAACAGATGTAATTTATATAATACTTAAAAAAAAATAAAGCTTTATTTATTCCTACCTTGAAGGTACAGGGCCTTGAGGAAAATGTGTTTACATGGTGAAAGGCCAAACTTAACCATTCCATGATCCACAAAAGGAAAGCTGTCACCAAGTTGGAAAAAGCCAGGCTGTCCCACTCACAAAATATTGTCTTTGTTCTCTCTACATGAATCAATTTGTATCTGCTGATAACCCACTTCTTTCCAAGGATTTCAGGTTTAGGATTCCCTTTGATGCCAGACTCACTGCTGGAAACAGTAAACCACTCTAACTTTGATGGAGCTACAATTATTCCCTCTAGTCAGCTATTTGATTGTTTCTGCTAAAAATCTTATGTCACCGTTTCATTTTAGGTAGGCTTCCCCTCCATCCTTTCTGATTTAAACCATGCCAGTTAAAAGCTGCAAATCAGCCCAAGAGGCATGTAACTTTTCATATAAAATATGCATAAATTCATCCTTCCCTATAACATGTATGACTAAAATTACATCAGTGACCCCAGCAACCATTTTTCCTTTCACCACCTCCCTCTCCAGCACCTCTGCTTCCCATCTGTGTTATCCCCAGCAGCGTGGCTGTGGTGCCTCTGACAGAGTCACGGGAGCACAGGAACCACCACGCCCAGGGCTAGAGGTGTCTTGGTCTGAGCACGTGTTGGTGCCAACACTTGTGAGGGTTTCAACCTGTCTGGGGCACAGGAGGGTTACATCAGGCAGCTCAGCCTGGTAATGGTAACCTAAGCTACCACAGCAGGGAGGTGTCTGTGGTGTGCTGTGCTTCGAGCAGCGCTCAGAGCCTGTGCCACTGCCTGACACCGACTGATTAAAATCCAGGTACTGCGGTGCTGTCAGGGAAGAAGAAAGGGGACTTGCCGTGCTCTTGTTGCTCGTGGATCTCCAGCAGGGCAGCAGCCAGACACCAGTGCACAGCAGCCTCGTGCTCTTCCACCTCTTCAGAGAATTACTTTCCAGTCAGCCTGAGGAGATAAAGAACACACCTGGTTTTTAAGACAGCCTGTCCCTCCACACAGACTCCAAAGTCTGTGTATCACAGGTGATCAGTTCCTCATGACTGGGGAGGGGACTGTGAGAGGAGATGAGGGAGATGTGAGAAGAACAAAAATATGAAGTCAATAATGGGCCTTACCAGGAACCCTGCAGCAAACAAGACCAGGTCCTAACAGAGAAAGAAACAGAGCTATCTAGTTACACTGCAAATATAGATATAATCTTCCTTTTCTCCACAGCTTTTACTTGCCATCTGTAAAAACCAGACATTCAAATTTCTCTGATTCCAATTTTCAGGGTATCCCCAAAGCCCAGACTACACTGCTAGTGGGAATGGAGAAAAGGATTACTTTGCCAGGCAGCCTAAGACATGGGACTGGAGTTTTAGTTTTATTTTGTTTAATTCTCAGGGCTTTCCCCAGTACAAAAATGCAGGGTTTCCCAATGTACCTTTTCATCTCATCTCACAGATGATGAAATAATCATTTCCCTTCGCTCTGAGGCTGATGTGAAACCCTCAAAAAGACTAACATATGTGGTGTCCAGACATGGGGACACTCTTGAGCTCAGGCTTACATTTTTGGCCTTCTGGAGTCACTTCTCCATACAGCCCATGCAGGTAGGAAGGCAAGAAGGAATATAGAAGATCCCAGAGAAATCTCTGCAGACCTGACATTCTCTTACTCATTTGTGTTCCAAACCAGGCATGTTTCTGTCACCTGTTTGGTGACAGAACTGTCCTTGTCCTCTACAAAGCAGAGGAAACTGGAAAGATTCTGGTCTTCCTTCCACCACAGAGGAGGCAACTTGGCTCCCAGGAACCTATATTCTCTACAACAACCATGCTCTTTTCATCTTGGCTTAGTAAGTATTTAGAGGGCAGTTCACATTTTCCCTTCTGCTCTTTGTAACAGAGCTGATTATTGCTAAGGTCAGGTGGCTCCATGAGCTAATTAATATTCACAGGTAGCAGTAAGAAATAAGTACAAACCTCATCTCTCTCCTCAGCTTTAATTACAATATCAGTGCTATCAAATTCCATGTGGATACACCTCCCGCATCAACTCCAAACAATTTCAGATGTGTATACAGGATTCACAGCATCTTTAACTCATGATCTTCTGTCATTACCACGTAATTACTCTAATGCATCTTTACTGTGCAACGCCCTCCAGAAGTAACAACCGTGGAGTGCCTCTTGTAATGACAGAATAGAGACATCAGTGTGGAATCTCTGCTTACAGGGACCTGCAGCATTCCTTCCAGTCCCATTATTCAACATTTCTGAGCAACTTGACTCCTACCTGCCTCCCTTCCTTCCCTAAATTTACTTCATGAAACATTCATGTCACTCTAGCACTGAGAAGCCCCAGGTGGCACTGAAATCCCTGTGGGAATGTAGCACAAGTCAATGAAGTGGCAATAAATTGTCTCACCTTGATCAGCTCTGTGGATACAGGAGAGGAATAGAGGAAGGTGAGCCAGGGAAGAGCAGCTGTATTATGCACCTTGCTGGGCTATGGGTGAGGATCTGGGCCTTCTGTAGACATGGGAAAAGAGGTTTAGAGAAATTTGACAGAAAATGCAATACTGACTACTTAAGCTAGCAAATATCCCTCAGTTAAGTGCTGGTGGAGGTCAGATACAAAAGTCAGTTAGAGAGAACTGGGCAAGCTTCAAAGGGTCTTTGTGGCAAAAAGCTGAAGGATGAGACAGTGCAATAACCTGTTAAATGACAAGCCTTTAATTTCTACCACTATAGAAAATGAAGAACAAAGTACACATTATAAAGACATAAAATGGGATAAATTTTTGAACCTGTGTAAGGATTTTTAAAGAAGAACTAGCTGCAGACATATCTCACAATGCTCTATGCAAAGTATTCCTGTGCCTTTGCAGAGATTTACTAAAATCTCTCAGTATATAAATTCCATCAGTCCTTTTACTTTTCTTAAATTGCAATCATTTTAAACTGAATAATAGAATCTGTATTTGTTGTATTTGGCTTTCTATGTGATAACAGTCACTATGATTAAAACATATGTTTTCAAGACTTGAAAATGACAGTTAAACAGGAATGGCATTACATTGTCACCTATCCAAATTGTAATTGGTATTTAATTGTAGCTCTGCAAGCAAACACAAAAAGACAAACAACAAAGGAACCTCTGCTCTGATTGAAAGCAATTAAGAGAGGAAAACCCAAGAGAGCTAATATATGAAGTTTCAGGGAGGAAGTATTCTTTCCCTGAAATGCAAAGGCCCTTCTTGAATCTGAGAGAGGTAAAGCATGGGAATAGTGCAGCTGTTTCTGGGAAGTTGCCTTTTGAGTGGAAATGGAAATTAAAAGCTGCCAGGCAGATTTTTATCTCTCTTGTCAAATTTATATTGTGTATGTTTGCTGATGTTCTGTAATATCCCAGCTAGATCTGTTGTTTGCATATTAACTGTTTTGTGTCCCAGATGCTCATACAAGAATCATATTTTGTGAAAGATATAACCATCACTTTCAACAGTATATTTTTTTCCCCTAAACACCTTTCCCTCTGTCTTGCAGAAGACTCAAAGAATCCCTGAAGAACTACTTTAGGATGGGCTTTTTCACCATCAGCTGGTAGGGACATGCAGGAAGCCATTCCTGAGAAAAAGGACTTTCACAACAATCACTGTGCATCTAAACCCAGTGAGTTTGCCTTTAGGGCTACACTGATCCCAGCCACGGAGAGATGGAGCTGAGGCAGGTTCAGGGGAGCTGGAATCCAGCACGTTCTGAGTGCCTGGGTCCAGGCCTTGGCTCTCCCAGGGGTACCTGAGTGAGAGTGAGGGTGGGTGATGTGTAGTTCACTCATGGAATATGCAGAGCTGACACATGGAACTGGACAGAGATCTTGACAATGGACAGGGTTTGTGGTTTCACAGGGTGTCATCTCTAATTATCAGGAAGGTTCCCTGGTTCAGTTCCAGAATGGAAAAGGAAAATATTTTTATCTACTTTAACACCACACTGGCACTGTCAGATGATTCATAGGCTCTAGAGAACACAGACATTACCAGCTCAGCACATTTGTGTACCAATCACCATTTGTCATATGTGAGTACTTCCCACAGTCCTAAAAAGGGATTTGTTTTCTGTATTATTTGCAGGAAATGTAACAAACTCCACACTGAATAGCAAAACAAAAACAGCACTTGATTGTTTTATCGAATAGTTGCCTATTTACTTGGCAAAACTTCACTTTAGGATTTTTTTTATGCTGTCTAATAAAAGGACCCCCACAGTTGTCTTCTCTGTGGAGAAAACCTGTCGACATCCAGTATAATTTTCTGCATATTGAGTGAAGTGCTTGAAAGTCCCAGATCCATTTTAATATGTGAGCAGCACTCCCATTTGTATGCAGCTGGAGAGAGTAGTTTTATCCTCATTTTAAAAAGCCATATGATAGATTTCTTTCTTTAAACAAATACTGTCTGAAACTTTGCTTTCTTCTCACTCTTTCCCCCAGCATACACCTTTCCTCTCTTGTTAGGCACCAGTGTGCTGAAATCACTGCACACTGCTGACATCTCACTCGTTATACATAAAATGATGCCAGCACCATTTCTTTTTTGATGTCTCTGTGCATGATCTGCTGGAATAATTCCCAGATTATCTGTTTATTAATATAATTTTGGCAAAACAGTTGGTGAGGAAATTCCATTACACTGCCTTGAATAAGGTCTTCATTATTCTTCTCTGAATTTTCTGATTCTGGTTATTGACAGTTTCCATTCCTTTCAATCCAGTCCTGGCCTGAGCTCTCTCCAACCCTGATCCTGCAAGAACTTTGCCACACAGCACTAGGCAGTGCTGCTCAGTCCTTGCACAGCTATTAACTCTGATGCAATGAAATGTTGTTGTTATGGGCTGCAGGGAGCATGTTTAACATCCACAGCTATTTTTAATGATTCTGTCAAAAGGAAGGATTATAGCTCTGAAAGCACAGGGAGGTTTTGTGTAACAGTCACAAAGCTTTGAACTCTGCACACACCATGACTGAACATACTGTTCATGCGCTTCAACACAGCCTGACACTGCAAAAGTCATGGTTGAAAAACAAGATATCTGAAGGTTACAGGACATTTCATGGCTCTAGTGTAAACAATAAAGCACCAAGGATTAAGTGCCAAACATTATCAACCTCCCCGTCTGGATATGTCACATCTCACAGGCTGAGAATGACTCACTCAAATAACCTCAGATGGCAAACCCCCAGGCAGGCAGGTTTGGAGTGATGCTACCAATTCAGCAAGGAGCATGTGGTTCAAGGAGCAGGCACGGAGTAATTCCCCAGAGAGTGCTTGGAGATGCTTTCACCCAAATTCAAGATTTCTGCTCCACATTTTTGTTGTGAATGAAAATAAAATAGTAGATTCTCAAATTTTGCAATGGAATTAAAATGCTGAAAATTTTACATTGGAAAAAAGAAGACTGTTTTATTGCTGATCATTTTGTCTTAAACAAATGAAGCCAACTGTAAAAATCTTGGATGAACCTGGAAACAGGAACCCTTATGAAAGCAGCAGAACTGAAAGCCTCAAGGTTCGTGGGATTGCTTGTTTCTCACCTACCAACAGAGACATATGGACATTCACTTTAACCAGCAATATTGGAATTTACAGTGACCGCTGCTGGAGAAGCAAAAGAATGAAGCACTACTGGGGAAGCTTTCCTAGGGCTTCCAGGTTTCCACCTCCACTGGCTGGGAGTTGGGGTAGGAATTAAGGTATCCAAATTTTTGAAGAAAGGAGTCAAAGCTGCAGGAGCTCCAACTTGGTCCAGAGATCTCAAAAATTCAGGGTTTCCAACTCTACCAAAGATAGCTGGAAGATATGTGAGCTTCAAGGTTCAGCTCCTAGCTGAGCTTCAGAAAACTTGCTCAGTGCCCTGGAGTTGGAGGAAGGTCATACAAAACCCAACAGAAAAGCTCAGAGACCCGTAGAATTTCCTGTGATATATTTTTGATCTCAGTAACTCAGCATTTTCTAATGAAGTAGTGCTTACTGGAAAGTTTCTGCCTATTTCCATTTGGGAAGACATTATTCAGATGGACATGACACATTTTGGATGACATGAGGGAATTAAGTTTGGTCTTCTTGCCAAATTCCATTCTGGCAGATAATTTCTTACCTATTTAAATCCACCTCATATTAACAGAGCCCAATTTTTTAGCTCTCATTCTGTCTTGCAGCTTTTGTACTGTTAAATATTATCCACGTTTCGTCTCCCATGTAGTTGCTTTTCACCAAATTTAGTCCCAGGTTAGAGTATGGATCTGTATATGGGACTGGGAGCTCTGGAGGTCTCTAAAATCACCTGTGCTACTGCACAAACATCAGGATTATTTTTAGTACTGGAGAAGTTTTTGCAGAGCAGGGTGTGATCCTACACAAAATGGAACCAGTCTGATGTCAAATTATTTTATGCCATTATGGCACATGACTGCATTACAAAGCAGCTGTTGTATTTTTCTATCTCCTCAGGAACATTTATTCCTACAATGGGGATACTGCATTGATTCCAATGAAGACCCAGGCCCCTATTGTGCTAGGCACTATAGCAACAGACAGTAAAAGGCAGTCCTTGTTTCTAAAGACCTTTCTATCTAAACAGACAAAACATTGCCAGAGATTTATTCTTCCATTTATAACAGTTACAAAACAACTTGGATGAAGAATAAAAAATGCAGTCATTAGGACGTGATGATCCCAGCTGTGGGATGGATCCATATGGAGGTGGGAAGCCCCAAGCCAGTGAAAGCAACGAGGGGTATAATCCTGAAGCAGCTGCAGGAACATGAGAACTCCTGCAGACTCTCCTGGGAGCCAGGATTCCCCTCTGTTCCCATTTCACCAGGTGCCTGCATGCATAACACAATGCAGAGCTGAAGTGATCTTTCCAAATTCCCTGGCACTACAAGCAGAGCTGCAGCATGGTCCCACTGCTGCTGTCAGGGGAATGAGCCTGGGCAGAGCCTGCTGCTGTCACTGTGCCTGAGATGCCACGGAGCAGTGTGAGCACAGGCACAGCCCTGCTGCAGGGCTTCCTGCAGAGCTGCCCCGGGACACCTCACTGGGAGAGGGCTCACAAGCTGCCCAGGTCACTGGTCTGTCACCAAATCACTGACCTACCACAGGCAGGAAACAGAATGATTCATTATGGTCTGCAACACTCCAGGGTCTCCAGTGCAGGGGCTATTCAGGTGACAGTGAACTCCCTGAACATACTGTGTTTCTTGCTGCAAATCCTCTCTCTAAGGGATACAGCCTAAAAATATTCCTGAGGTACGGCTCGTAAACAGACATATTCCCTGTTCTGGTCTTGCTGATGTTCTGTGCTGTTATTTACTTAAATTGCACAGCACTAATAGGAGACTCTGGTAACTTTTTTTCTTTTCTTTTGGAAGCGATGCAATGCACAATAAAGCAAAGGTGGTAATGATTTAAAAGATACAGGTCTCTTTTCTGGACATTCTGACTATGAATATAATATGAGGTTAGAGT